GATTCCTCTTAGGAATTGCCCGACTAGCATTCATCAGTTGAAAGGAGAGGGGGGATAATGATCATATTAAGAATGGCGGTAATAAAACACCTAATGGCCCCTAAAATGAAGAGAATTATGCCTAGCACAAAAACAAAAAAATGCTTTATGTAATGAACTATGTAAATATATGACATTAATGCTCTTTTGCTATTAGAGCTTTACGTTATAAATTAGTTACTATTAAAATCGGATCAGAAAAAAAGAATGGAAAGGAAGAAAAGTGAGGGGCTCCAAAAAGGAGAGAATTATCCTGTGAGAACTACTGAAGCTTTTTGGTAGAAGTTGGAAAGAAAGAAGGATGTTTAGTGAGTCATAGGCGCTGCTCCTTGAACTTTTTCCTTCGCGTTATCATATACCTTTGAAAGCACATACAATTATGGATTGTTTACAGTATTCTTAGAATCAGATCTCTGCCAGTGACTTTTGGAAAATAAATGTGTCAAACTAAACAGTTTAATACTTCAATTTTACAGGAGAGTTTTTTGGGGGCCATTTTCCTGATTTTAGCAATATTATAATTGAAAACTTTTAAAAATGTGCAGTCTATACTTGTTAAATGATTTCTTTATATTTTGATGACTTTAGTAAGTGATAGCATTTTATTTTTCAATAGTTTTCTAGTAAGGCTTAGTATTTAACTATATGGAATGTGGGAATTATCCACATTTATGAATATGTATCAAATGTAATTTTTATTTTAAATATTTATTATGATTGTAAAAGAGAATGTTAGTTAAATCCAGTCTTGTTGATTTTAATACTTTAGGGATCCCTAAAAGTCAAAATGCTTTCCTGTAAAATAGGACTTTCTAGCCTTTTAAAAAAAATGGATGTATAATTGACATACAATATCCTGTTAGTTTCAGGTATACATCATAGTGATACAATATTTATATATATTACAAAATGATCCCCTGTGGTAAGTGAACTAGTCACCATCTATCACCATACAAAGTTATTACAACATCATTGACTGTATTCCTACTGTGTACATTATATTACCATGACTTATTTATTTCATAACTGTAAGTTTGTACCTCTTAATCCCCTTCATCTATTTCACCTGCCCCTCAACCCCTCCCCTCCCTGGTAGCCAGCAGTTTGTTTCCTGTGTCTATGAGGCTGTTTCTATTTTTGTTTGTTTTGGTTTTAGATTCCATATGTGAGTGAAGTCATACATTATTTATCTTTCTCTGTCTGACTTATTTCATTTAGCATAATACCCTCTGGGTTCATCCATATTGTCACAAATGGCAAGATTTCATTTTTTATGGCTAAATAGTATTCCTGTGTACACATACATACATATACATATACACACACAGCGCATCTACCGATGGACACTTAGGTTGCTTTCATATATTGGCTACAGTAAATCATGCTGTAATGAACATTAGGGTGAGTATATCTCTTTGAATTAGTGTTTTCATTTTCTTCAGACTCACCCCTATGTTCATGGCAGCTTTATTTACATTCGCCTTTTTGTATTAAATCTAAATATTTACTTTCTAAACTCAACATGGTTCTCATTCTAAAGGTTGTTATTTTAACTTGTTTTATAAATTTTTCTGGTAATAAGAAATGCTCTGCCATTCCATAATTTGACCTAACCTCTTGAAGATTTTAGCTATAACATGGACTTCCTGAAAGGCAGTTCAACACGAAGGAGAGTATAGAGCTTCCTCTTCTTTACAAATCATTGTTTGAAATCCAACAGAATTCTCCTTAGACGTTTCCTGGCTGGCAGCCATCAGTGGACAGGAGAGGAGAGGAAAAAGGCTGGGGCGCATCAGTGCGGTATTAAGAATGGCAGTTTTGACCTGTTTCAGCCCTAGATTCATGACTGTCATGGGAGGCAAGTGATACTTACCTTCTCTGGTGCCTATTTTTTTCTTTTGGAAAAGGATAATGATGGTACCTACTTCATAGAGATTTAAGGTTTTTATAGAGAAAAAATAAATAAAGCACATGGCATAATGCTTGGCACATTGAATGTACTCAACAAATGTTAGTTATCATCTGCATTTTCATCTTAATTTTCCTGATTTAATTCTGAAATAATTGGTGAATTGATTCTAAGTCACTTTTAAGAAAAGCGCTGACCCCAAAAGAATTATGCTTATAAGAACGAATTTTTGTCAATAATAAGTCAAGATGAATGGAGGTTTTATTTTGGAGGTTTTTAACCTCCATCAAGTAAATGAGCTTAATTTACTTTCTTTTAACTCAAGCACTGTTTGACAAAGTTCTTTGACTCTTTGAATCTTTTTTTTTTTTTAAGATAAAAGTGGACTAAACAATCATTCTGTTTATTTCTAATGCCTACTCTTCTGAGGTCATGTTTGACCTTAAATATTTTCCTAAATAGATTTTAGTATACAGGTGTTAGTTCCAATGCTTTGTTTGTACAGTTAAATACATCAAATTTAGCAATTTGGTGTGGGCGTGGAAGGGATTGGAGAGGTTATTAAATGACCTAACTTCTATTAATCAAAATGTAACTATATTTTAGAGAATAAAAATAGTAGCTATATCACTTGAGTTCATGAAGACTTAGCTGATTTTTAATAATTAAATAGTTTTTTTTCTGCCAATGAGCATTAGATTACTGCTGACTTTTAGTATCGTAGTACCTTGTGGTAGTTTCTCTGCAGGGTTTAAAGGTACATCTCAGTTTTTGTTGTCTGTCTTGTCCATAGGAAATAATCTTTAGAGATGCTATGAGAATACCTCTAGAAGTTCGTGCGTGCCGTTAATATGTTATAAGCATCGGTCAGTCCCATTGTCTTCTTTTGTCAATCTTGGTCGGAGCTTGCCGAGTAAGTCTATAAGCCTGCATGTGCCTGGCAACTGTTACCTAGAGACAGTTTCAGCTACAGTAGCCATTGGCTGTGCTGTCGATTGGGGCAGGAGGACCGAGTCACCTTTCCGATGGTGAGTTCTTCTGCATCAGCTCAGGATGAGGAGGAGGAGCGGGGCTCTGGCTCAGGTGGAGGCAGTGATGCTGGGAGACTGTGAAGAATATCCTGACAGCATCCGGTAACTGCATCACAGTGAATCGGACTTCTGGATCAAGCAGCCCAGCCTAGCAGCTGAGAGTGAATGTAGGTGAGAAGCATTGCCTTTTTCCTGTAACGAGAGAACTATTTTGTGACAAGTGGAACTGGGAGTGTGCAAGGAGGAATATCTTGTGGCTTTCATGAAAGGAGAAGGACTTCCCTGGGTGACTCGGTGGTGCACGAGGAAATAACTTTCGGAAGAATGCTTTCTCTCACGCTGCTGCATTGTTCCTGAGGAAATGTTTTTATTTTTAATGCATGGTATTTCTTCAAAGGGTATGACAACAAAGGCTGACAGGAGACTCTCTGAAATGCCTGTACTTTAAAAAAGACTTTTGATGATGTTAACCTTATATCAGAATGACCTTGGAAGCTTTTTGGATGGATTCTATCCTGCCAACCTTCCAGTATTTCAAACTCTAGGATTTAAACTCATCTTGATGCGTTAGAGGTATTTTAAAATGAGACCATCCTACAACCTGCCTAATGGCCCCTGTGTTGAGACCTTGCTCAAAATAGGATGCAGAAATAGAAGAGACATTTCTCTAAACATATGGCTGCTACATAACTACAAATGTAACAAACAAGGTAATTTTCCACTTTCAGAAGATATAGTTGAAGTAGTGATTTAATGTGTTAATCATCTAATAAAAATAGAAAAAGTAGAGAAACAGACTGTGAAGCCTATTAGAAATAGCTAAGTTATAAATAATGGCAACATTTCTAGTCAATAAGCTCAGAGTAAACAGGAAAGTTTCCATTGTCTCAATTTCATATATATGTCTCTCTATATGTGAGATATAGCTGTGATTGAAAAGGTGAGAAATGACTTAAGCTATATATTTTATGCTCATGTTTCGTTACTAGGAAGGTGGCCTGTCAGATGGTAAAAGTTATTGTCAGTTATTGATGCTGAAATTAATAGCAAAAATTATTTCTTTTTCTTTTGAAAAGGAGGAAGTATAAATCACATTGCTGCTGGTAGCAGCAATTAAAGCATTGCTTCTGAATGCGTTAAAAATGCATGCAGAATTAAAACTTCAGAGGTTTATCATATTTTGTTAGGTGTTAACCCATTGCATACTATATCTTTCCTACTGGAAGTATGTTGTTTTTTTTTTTTTTTCCTCACGAAAGCTGTAGGGCAGTCTGGAGTCTGTTCCCTCTGTTCTACTCTTTTGTGCCTGAATAGAGATGAGTCTTTTGGAATCAACCTTGTTGGCAAAGGTGGGGGGTGGGGTGGGGCGGGAAGGGTTTCTTAGCTTTCTAAAGATACGAGAGAGAAATGGATCATAAAGTTGGCCCACCAGCGTCAAACCCTCAACTGAACCTAAAGACTCTCTTTGTCACAATGAACTTTTTCTTAGCTTTCCAACCAAATCTGAGATCTTAACTGTTTAAGTTCTAAAATATGAATCCACTTCTCATGATAGATGAAACAGGAAGCCTGAGACAATTTCAGACTTTTTCTTTTCTCATTCTTTCTAGTTGATCTCTAAGAAACAGCCTTTCTGAGGAGGACAGACAGCCCACAGAAGCTTTTCTTCCCTTGGCAATTGATTTTTTTTTTCTTTTTGTAGATTTAATTTTTCATAGTGCAAGGGAATACATTCATTTTCTCCAGAAGTGCCTTGTGTTTGCCGAAAGTTGTTTGAGGCCACCAGAGGAAGCTAATGAGTGACCTTTCCCCCGCTCCTTTGTAGTTTATCCCCTCCCTCGCCCATCCCTTCCCAAAGCTGAGGTGTGTCACTGCTGCACTGAGGCTGATGAAGGGACCTGAGTACTCTCTGGGATGCTCAGCTGTGACAGAAGCACAGCCACTGTCTACCGAAGCCGATTCCGAGACGCTCGTGTGCAGAGTGTCACAGATGCTGGGCAGGGCACCGGCTTGCCGTCGCCAAGGCTGCAGGCTCCCTTGATTCGAAGCCATGAATGAATCCAGGTGGCCTGAATGGAGGATCCTGAACCTGAGCAGTGGCCTCGTGAATGTGTCCGAGCGTCCCTCCTGCCCACTGGGATTTGGCCACTACAGTGCGGTGGACGTCTGCATCTTCGAGACGGTGGTGATCGTCCTGCTGACGTTTCTGATCATCGCTGGCAACCTGACGGTCATCTTCGTCTTTCACTGTGCTCCGCTCTTACACTACTGCACCACCAGCTGCTTCATCCAGACCATGGCGTACGCTGACCTCTTCGTCGGAGTGAGCTGCTTGGTCCCCACCCTGTCCCTCCTCCACTACTCCACGGGGATCCACGAGTCACTGACCTGCCAGGTTTTTGGATATATCATCTCGGTTCTAAAAAGTGTTTCCATGGCGTGTCTCGCTTGCATCAGTGTGGATCGCTACCTGGCAATAACCAAGCCCCTTTCCTACAACCAACTGGTCACCCCTTGTCGCCTGAGAATTTGCATTATTTTAATCTGGATCTACTCCTGCCTGATTTTCTTGCCTTCTTTTTTTGGCTGGGGGAAACCTGGTTACCACGGTGACATTTTCGAGTGGTGTGCCACCTCTTGGCTCACCAGTGCCTATTTTACTGGCTTTATTGTTTGTTTACTTTATGCCCCTGCTGCCTTCGTTGTCTGCTTCACTTACTTCCACATTTTCAAAATTTGCCGGCAGCACACCAAAGAGATCCACGACCGGAGGGCCCGCTTCCCCAGCCACGAGGTGGATGCCTCGGGAGAGACCGGGCACAGCCCTGACCGGCGCTACGCCATGGTTTTGTTTCGGATAACCAGCGTGTTCTACGTGCTGTGGCTCCCCTATATCATTTACTTTCTTCTGGAAAGCTCCCGGGTCTTGGACAATCCCACACTGTCCTTCCTAACAACCTGGCTGGCTATAAGTAACAGCTTCTGTAACTGTGTAATATACAGCCTCTCCAACAGTGTTTTCCGGCTGGGCCTCCGAAGGCTGTCCCAGACCATGTGCACGTCTTGTGTGCGTGCGAAGGGTCAGGAAACACGAGCCCCCAAACCCAGGAAGCGGGCTAATTCCTGCTCCATTTGAAGAGAACTGCACAGTAAATCAAACGCAATCTGACAGTGGTTTTGGATCGTATTCTTGATTCACCTGGAAATTTGCCACTAGAGAAATATTTACTTGAATAGTTGACTAGGAGATGAAGGGACCAGAGGTTTCTTTTTTATTTTCTTTTGTCACGGAGGAAAAAAACTAAAGAAAACGATGTATAGAGGGTAATCTCATGAGATAATTATAGCGTGTGCGTGTAAATGTGCAGAAATAGGAAAAACGAAGCGCTGAGGATGAAAAAGTATCTCAGATCTTCCACAGGACATGAGCCAAGTCCCTCGGTGACGGTGTCTCTGTCTCTCTGACTGAGCTCTCTCTCCTGTCTGTGTCTCTCCTTCTGTCTCTGTCTGTCTCACTCTCTTTGTGTTTGTGGAAGTTACTTACATAAATTGCTCTTTATAGAACGATGTCACATATTATATATGTGGCAAAGTGTAGTCTTGCGTCAAAGTGTACTTTTAAACACACTGATTTGAAATCCATGAGTGGTCTCTCCATGGAGGATGCATAGTAAGCGTTGTATTTCAGTACCTGCCACACAGTCTCTTTGCTTGTATTTTTATAATAATCCCTGCAGCACAAATTTTCTGCTACGAGCAAAAAGAAAGTGTTTTTATTTCATCAGGGTGAAATCATGCCCCTTCCCTTCCTAACAGCCTGCTGTATTTTTCTCTCCATTTTTCTTGATCTGCATCCTTTGGTACCTTAATCCAGAAGTGTCTTAGCTAATGAAAGAATCTACTCTATAAAGCAATCATAATGTTTAGTAATTTATTCCTTCCAACAAAGCAATCTATAGCCTGTTTGAAATATTGTGTTACATATTTTTCACGGCTTTTGGAAATTTTTTTTCTGGTTTTCTTTTTAAAGAATGCCCAAAGTGATGTCCTTTTTTACTATAGTAAAGCTTTGTTTTCCTTTAAGAAAATCCACAAATAATACAAATGCGGCTACAGGGTACTCACCCAGAAGTGAAGTACTGTTCTTAAAGCTGCTTGATGTGTCCTTTTTATTTTTAAGAGTAAAAAATTGACCTTTTTTTTAATCAGGCCTACAAATCTTGCTGTTGTGTCCACTTAGCATTTGTGTGATATGCTTTGCACATACTATATTTTTTACAACAAAGAAAATGTAAATTATGTGATCTGTGCCTAATGTTTTCTTAGCACAGTATATGATCGATGTCGCTTAAGTCATCAGCATTGGAAAAAAATATACAAAAACTTCTTATAAGAGGAAGATACTTTTGTGTAGTTGTTATTTAGGTATTTAGACCAAGCTTCATTCTTAGTGCTGCTGAGAATACAGTATACTTAATTATCAGATACAGGTAAGAGCTGTCAGTATTTTCTTTTGTAATGATCTGTTTTCATATTCAGAGGTTAAATTAGCTTATTTTTTAGTGTGCCACCTGGAAGTGTGTAATAAATTGTCAGGAGGTTACATGCAGCAAAATGGCACCTGGGAATGAATAGTAAAGTAGGTGTGAGTGACAATATTTCTAAATATTACTTTTTTTTTTTACCATACATTTATTGCCTGACAGATATGGAAAAATTTATATCAAACTACCAAGTATTTTTCTTCTCAGCACTTTTGACTTCTCTGTTTAATGAACTGCGTTGATGAAATGTGCCTATGGGAGCCAGCCGTCGTTGCGTTGGTGGCTTGACGTCAGAGGCCCTTTAGCAGAAATGTCATCATTTTATTGAGGTTGTTCTGAACCCCTGTATATTTTCCAACATGTAAGAAAGGTTTAAAATAAAGAATAAAATACTATTCTCTACATCAAAATCAGACTTTGCTTCAGATTAATAAAATGCTTACTTGGAACAAGAGTTTACCTGTTTGGGATCAAAATTGAGTTGCTTTACGTTTCTGGGGTTTGGGTTATTTATGTCAATTCTTGTCCTCTCTTTGCTAGTGAAGTCTTGGATAAGTTGAAATGTGCCTTTTAAGTTCAGACGAGTTCAAGGAAGACAAAGTTCAAGGGAACATAGTACTATAACTTTTCAATAACTTTTCAGTTGTCGTAAATAGAATCTTCAACATTATACATATTATTTGGGAATCAGATTTCTATTCCTTTAGTTTGGAGTGTACATATAGTTAGACTCAGTAGACCCTCTGTACAGAAAACCTGAGGCCATATTGCATTTTCCTCTTCCGGCTTTTCCTCATAATAATTAATATAACAGTTAAGTGCCAGGCACCATGTGAAATTTTACATATGACATTTAATCCTCACCATAGCCCTTTGAGATAGCTACTGTTATCCCCATTACAGAGATGTGGAAACTAAAGAAAAGTGACTTATTCAAGGTCACTCAGTCAGCGGCAAAGTTTCATTCACACTCAGGTGGCCTGGAGCCAAAGCCCGTACACTTATCACTGACTCTACTGCTTTGTTTATTTTTTTTTTTTTCTCAAAAGCCTTCAGAGCTTTGTACCTTTGTCTATACCTTTTTTCCAACAAAATTTCTCTTGAGTTTTCTTTCTTTTTTTCTTACCTAGATCTTTTGCTTCAGTTCCTTTCTTGAGATATTTTTTTCCTTAAGCTTACAGCTCTCTTTGATTAAGACAGCCATCTGATAAACCCAAACTTGCCAGGTCAGTCTATAATCAGACTGAAACTCCAGGGCACGGTGTTCTGTGATAGCACTTTTGTTCATTTTTGTTAAGTTTTCCTTGAATAGCTTTTTCAAGTCTCTATACATTTTTTATTGAAAAAAAAAATGGAAGAAGCATGGAAAAGGAACGCTTTATTGTAGGCCGAAAAGGGAGCCTCTGTGAGGCAAGTTCTATATTTAGATTTTTCATTTATTATAATATTTCATGTACAACTCTAGGACAAGCCATTTAACTTCCTTTTGACATGTTTTAATATGTGTTTATATAATAGATAATACTTGCTTTGGAATTACTCTATCTTTTTTAGGTTCACATATTTTAAGAATAGAAAGCATAGCCATTATTCTCGTCATTATATTGTATTCTGTGGTAATTATCCAATTTGGTCGTAAATGACAGCCGAACAGTAATGCTGTAGACTGTTACTAAGGGTTCTATTATCTGGAGTTCTTTCCAAAGTTATGTAGTGTTGAAAGTTTTCATAACTCATTCGCACAGGAAACCCGGATTGGAATCTCGGCCCTTAACAGCTGTTTGACCTTTGGTAGTCAAGTACTGAATGTCCCAAGTCCTGGGTTTTTTCATTAGTAAAACCCAGAGACTTGCACTTTCCTGTTCGGCTGGATTTGAGGGCTAAGTGAGATAATGCAGTCTATGTGCTCAGCGTGGCTCCTGGCACATAGAATGCGGTAGCTGCTGTTTACCTTTGTGGCCGCCATATTTATTGCCATCACAACTTAAAGAGCATGAAGTCCAATTGAAGAAAATTCTATTTCATAACAGAATCAGTCCATTGAGTATTAGAGTTTTCTAAAGTAGCATTTTTTTTTTTTTTTCAAATCTGTTTAAACTTAGATTTTGGCTTAAACTCGGATGTTTTCAAATACAGAAATCTTCCGTTAATTCCTCAGTAATAATTATTCACGAAGGCATCATTTGAGATTGAAGACATCCAGCAAGCAGATGTTGGGATGAGACAGAGATGACTCTGGGGTTAACCTGCCTCCTTACCTTTTAAAGTAATTTAGATTAAATGTGCTTTAACATTTTCTTTCATCAGGTTGGCAACAATAGGAAAGGACTGTTCAGGAATGTCTTGCCATTTGCCTTTGCGTTTTAGTTTTTCTCACTAAAATAGAATCTCAGGTATTTCTTCGATCACATACATGATACCTGGAAGAAAAGCAGATGAATACGCAGATTCGTTCTACATATACCATTAGTTCTGAGTGTAGAAATAAATGAAGTTGTTGCCTTAAAGGACTTTCGTCTGTCTCGCTTGACCCGGGAAGCTAATCATTAGACGTGAAAAAGATGCAAGTATGTGAGAGACAGGAAGGAGATTAATACGTGCAGAAGTCGCTAGGATGACACGCTGAGCGTAGCATCACTTGTGTTCAGGTAGGACCATCGCAGGGCCCAGGAGCTTCTGGTACTGAGTGTAGGTTCCCACACTTGTTCTTTCCCCAGAACAAAACTGTATTTTAGGATTAAATGAATATGTAGAAAGCGGCATACTCCGCTTCCAAATGTATAGACGCTGGGAAAAACAAAATGACTAGAAAACAATAAAAAAAACAAAGATTCCCTTTTTAGAGTTTCATGTAAATAAAAGTTTTATCCAGTGCTAGTTCTATCATTTAAAATATTCATTTTTTTCACTGTGAAATTGGTTGTCTTTTAAAATATGAAAAGTGATTTGATTAGGTTATTCTTTATAAATATTCTGTTAAAAATTTTTTTTACAATAGGCATTTTATTTTATGATCAGGTAAAGAAAATCGTATCATTAAAAAGAATGCTGACTATTTCAAAACATATTTTGACAGTTCGCAAAACGGTTTTTGTTCATTCTATAAATAAAATTGTCCAATTTTGTCATGCTATTATTTTCTTTTGAAGATAGTTTACATAGTTTTCTGAATTTTATAATATTTGTTTTCTCAGGTAAATTTTCAGAGAAATCTGATTACCTTCTACTTACGATATTAGATGTTCTCGATTTATTTTTGCTTCAACACAATTTGTTCAAAGTGTTATTTGCTGAATCTGAAATGGATCTGAATCACTGTAAGGTTTTTTAATGTGCCATCGATGGCACCTTCTAGCATTTTTCACCTCTTTAACAGAAGGATGACCCTGCATTGGGGAAATAGGGCTGGCTGGTGTGTTCACTGCATTTCACAGATCAGGAAGGTTTTGTTTTAAGTCCTCCATCTCCAGAGATTATATCTAGAACATTTTAATGATAATTTTACCCTATTTTTACATATACTTCCCC